GTCTGCTGCTCTCCTCCGAGGTGCCCCGGAGCTTCCCGTGGCACAGACCTGTTGGCTGTCCCAGGTGCTTAACAGTGCTGCTCCAGCTTCCTCTATCCCAGGGGTTTCTGTGGCTTTTTGGGAGCTGGAGCAGCACGGACGTGGAGAGGAGGAGGATTACTGCAGGTGGGAGAGACTATTTGGCTTCGGTGCCTGCACCAGTTCAACTGGTAGGTGGGGAGATGAGCTGCAGTTTGGTTGTACCTGTGGCTTCCCAGTGCCACGAGGAGAGATTAGGACGCTGCAGCTGGGAAATTTTCCAGCTTTCCCCGTTATACGTTTCCAGTAGGACTTTTTTCCCCTCTGTTGTGCGCTAATCACAGTAACGGCAGATAAGATTTTGCTTAAGTTGAAAAAGGCCTGTTGGCGCTCTTGAGGTGAACTGGGAACTCAGCCAGGTTTGGACTGGAGACTGCTTTGAATGCTGACCATACGGTGAGTTGGAAGCCTGATGGACTTCTTGCTCTTTTCTCACAGGGCCTTCAGCTACGCCTGTGCCTACACCCGTGCCTGGGAACTCTGTGCCATCAGGGAGTCGAGGCCCCGTTTGGATCTTGATTGTTGCAGGTAGGTGAGACTTGGGGTGCTGCACGTGGTCTTGGTCCTGGCTTGGCCCATAAATTGGGTGTTCTGATGGAGTTAATTCCAGACTTGTCTCAGTAGCTGCTTTTGCTGGGCTGGGAGGACTGGAAGAAGCCTTCCTCCACAGCTTATTCATTCGTCTGACTTGGGAGCACTGTGTCCTTGGAAACTCCACTCCATGCAACCTGGCACCAACTCCTTCCTCTCTCTCTGTCCCTTGTCCTTGAGGGAAGCAGCTCATCTCTGGCTGTTGGCTAATGCTGTTGAGCAGCAGAGCGCAGTACTGGTGTCCAGACTAGGTGCAGTGAGTGGTTCTCTGCTTGTTGCACTCTTCTCTCTAGTGCTCCTGAGCATCCTGGTGGCTGTGGGTTCCGTTGCTACGTGGGGCCTGTCCAAAGCAAAAAGCAGATCTGACATCTTCGGTCTTGAAAAAGCATCCACGGAACAGCTGATGCCTGACAAGAGCCAGCCAGGCTCATTTCCCTGAAGGGTGAGTTTCTTGCTCCACATGCGCTCTGTATACATGAGGGAGAAATGCCCTCTTGCCCTACGTTTTAGGCTCTAGAGCTTTCCCCTCTGGGGGTACCTTTTCCCAGCTGTTCCTGCTGCTGGTCAGCCATGTGCTTGGGGTTTCAGTCTGCCCTGAAGCAGGAGAACTCTCCCCTCACCTTCCTCACCATCAGGCGTGAAGGCTCTTGCTTGACTACAGGGATAGTTGCACAGCCTAGTCCGAGAAGATGCTGGCTTTTGGTAGTGATGTGCTGGTCTGTCTCCTTCCTCTGCTGCCGAGGAGGCTGAGCACTCGTGCTAAGACACTGATCTTCTGGTGTGGGTTGTTTTCCTCCACTTGGCACAAACTGGAGTCAAGCCAGGGGTTTGGCTGTCAATAACCAGGTGTTTTTCTGTTCTTGTAACAGGGATCTTTGCCGTGAGGTGATAAGATGGGACTAGCCTGACCTCCCTCCCGCTCATCACAGAGACTGACTGAGTTGGACCTAAGCTGTCAATTCGGGGTTGTTACACTGGAATAACAAGAGGATGCTCCCCTTGGAAATGGGTCTTAGATTGTGGGACTACTTTGGCACTGGAAGTAGCACAGGGCCTTCCGTGGTGCTGTGAAATCACCCCTCGCCAAGGTGGTAGAAATCTCTTCACGGTTCTTGCCTCCAGGGGCTGTTAATGCTGTTTGTCACCAGTGTGGCCTTGGACCCCGAGGTTTTATTCTCCATGAAATAGAGACTCGTGTCTCGGATTGAAGTCTGCGTGTCACCAGACAGCTCGGTGCTGTACGCTCCTCAGAAGAACTGGCAGCAGGGGAGGAGGAGGTAACTGAGCAGTGCCTCTCCACGGTTGACCACGTTCTCCTTGCACAAGTGTTCACTGAGCGCACAAACGATGGAAAGCTGCTGCCTTGGCTGCTGCTCTCTGTGCCTTAAAGGTGAGAACTTGGCTTGCCAACCAGACATGGGTCATCAGCCTTAGAGCAGGAGTTTTCCACTACTCGATAGTGCGTGAGTGCTGCTGTACCCACAGGAAAAACTTCTCTATGTGGTACGGAGCACCGAGATATTCCACTGCTGCTATTTTTAGTACCAAGAGGTCATCCGTAAGGGTGCACGCAGCCTCACATCTGTTCCACAGGGACAAGTGGAGAGTAGCTGATGGGGAATGACACAGGAGAATAAAGAACTTGAAACTAATGACTTCTGCATTATTTTTTTTCGTGCATTTGCTTGGGTTCTGTAGTCGGGAGGCTGGGGACTGCGTCCCCTTTGGATTGTCACGTCCTGGGAAAGAGGACTCGTGGTGAGTGGGCTGGCATGGGCAGAGAGGGAAAGCGAGGGCTGCCGAGCCTGCCTGGGGCTGCAGTGACTCCAGCACACGTCAGCTGTAACAGGAAAAAATGAAATACTGGGAGCAGAGTGATCGGAGCGGGTGCAGACAGGAGAAGCAGCTGGCCCTGGCACCGGGGGCGCTGCTGCAGGATAGGTGACAAGTGGGAAGCTTGGCAAGAATGAGGTGAAAAACTTCAGTCTGCACAAGCTTGTTCCTTCTTCGTTAGAGCAAGTGGAAGGAGTGGGGTGCCCAGCGGAGCGGGAAGGTGCTTCAGGAATGGCAGTGGGACAGGGCTGAGCTGGGGCTGATA